TCACAATGTTAGACGGAGCGACTGGACACACCACAATAGATAGGTTTTGTTCAAAATCAACAACCACAGGGGAAACAACACCAACAACCGTCTCCACCACAAGCATGAAAAGAGGAGCATCAACCGCATTCACCTCAGGCAACTTGCACGGGACAAAAGAGGTAAAAGGAAGGGATTTAGTAACAGTATTAACATGGGGATGTAAAATTCGGCATTCCTCTTTGAAATGACCTAACGAATTATAGTGCACAAAAAAAGAAGAGGAAGCTCATCCAAAATAACTGACTGAATATAACCCGTATTCGGCGAACTCACCCAAATCTTATCCGGATTTTTTTTGGTGACATCCAACTCAACAAGGATGCGAGCAATTGAAGGATGGGAACCAGAAGCAGTCGTGATATTTGTTTTCAAATTCCGCCCGAACAAAGAACCCAAGCCAAATAGAATCTTAGACGAGAAAAGATGGGGCCTAAGATAAGGAAATGAAATCCATATGGACACGATAGGAGAATCGACCTCAAAATCCAAATTTGGGGTCCATTCCACAACTTTCTTATAGCAATTACTCACAAATTAAGAACGATGCGAAAATATCCTACAATAATCAAAATCATTGACAAGCTTGATTAGAACATTCCTAGGGCTAAGAACAGTGACCGAACAATCACCATTGAGCTCAAGTTGAAAAAGAATTTCCGAATGGCATCAATGGAGGGCCTCAGTCCGGGGAACTTGCCAACCAAAGCGAATTCAAAAGGAGCAGCGAGCGAATTAATTTCATCCTACAAAATCAATAGCGCCGACAAACCACGGTGAGAAGAAATTTTCAAATCGGGAAAAAGGACAGAAGAACTAGAAGCCCAGATAAGGAATCCTTAAAGGAAAGAGCCGAAGAGGCACCATTCAAAAATCCCATATCACGAAGACGACATCAAAGCTGAAAAAATAAGGCCGAAACAAGCAGAACCAAGAATATCAAACTAGAGAAGAAAGAAGACTTCCCTGAGGCGAAGAAGGTGACGGAGATCACCCGAACAACAGCGATCATCGAGAAAGGAAAAAACCCCTAGCAGAGCGGACATCGTGGTGTTGATGTGTATGTATATATATATATATATATATATATATGAATTTATATGAAGATATAGGTAGGTTATATATAAAATGGTCTGGCATCATTTTATATAACAGATTTTTCTATCAGATTTCTTATTTATTATTTATTTACTGAACTTTTTAGTTTTACTGCAAAGTAAGACTCTCCAAGATCCCTACTCATAGAATTATCGCCGCACTCTTTATATATATATAATATATATATATATATAGTATATATATATATATATATTTATATATATGGTGAATATATAGTAAATTTACCATGAGATAATTTGTACTGTTATATAAAGTATTATTGGAAATTATTCTGTGGCGACTCCAGACGGTCTGGAAACTATTCAGAATGTGTCATGTAACCCAGTAGAGCGGTACCGAGAACTAGCACCGAGCAAAAAAGTGATATGTCACGTTCTGGTTGATCTCCGGACGCCGTCAGGTGACCGCTAACCGCGTCATGCAAGACTGCCAGTTGATTTATTTCTATATATAAATAGAATAACAAAATTATTTTATTTTTATTTTTAGTATTTTCAAAATTTTGTTTTAATTTAGCCATGTGACGGTTTCTTGTCATTTAAAATTTTGACTGATTTCTGTCGTCTCACCTACAAAGGGGGAGTTGTAGTAGGCTAAAGCCTTTAATTCTTCCTGATGGATCTAAGAAATACAATGAACACTAGATATTCATATAATCTTATTATTCTTGGCTGGGATTGAGGGATACAACGACCTTTACATATTTTCACTCTTCCTAGCCATATTTAAGATCAATGGAATGCGGATCTTCGATATAGCTATGGAAGCAGTCCAGAGAGAGAACATTAAGATACATAGCTCATCTTAGTGTGTGGGTTGAGATCTTTGACTATCAACCAAGAGGTTTTGAGTTCGAGTTTAGTGTATGTGATGTGTGTGTGAATTTGTCTTAATTCACCTAAATGTCACCCAATATTTATGTTTGAGATTTGCATATTTTACTCAAATTTCATCAATATTTTGCATGAGTTTTAAATGATTTTACCTATTTAAAAAAATGATAGTCAATAGGTGATATATAATTTTCTTTTTATGCAAACAATATGCTTTCTTTTTATTTACAAAAAAAAAAAAACTTAAAATAAAATTTATTTAATTTATTAATTTATCTCTAACTCAAATAATTTGAGTCAGAATTAGCTCAAATGCAGCTTACCTTGAACTCAACTTGAGTACAAATTACTCAATTTAAATTGATTCAAAAATTGATACACCATTTAGAATTTAATTAAATAGCTTTAATTTTTTAGTTTTATTTTTATTATAATTATTATTTTACCAAATTTAGTTTTTTCAATCTAAGTAACACTAATTGATTAGCTATATATATATATATATATATATGTGTGTGTGTGTGTGTGTGTGTGTGTGTTAGAGAAAAAAAATATAATCGTCAATGGCTTGTGTTTATAAACAAAAGCAATATTAGATTAAGAAGTACAAGAATCACATATAATCACAAATTAACTAAATTTATAATCAAGTCATAAATTAGCATATTATTAAGCCCTAATTGAGCTTCTTAATGAGTGTATTCACGAGTTTTAAATGATATTGTTCATAATCATAATGAATCAAACTTGTTCATTTGTGTATCAAGTTTTTTTTGAAGTGTTTAGGTATTATTAATGAGCTCTAATTATGCCGAGCCATGGATTGCTTGTCGACCGTATTGCTTCATTTATATCCTAGGTTTCTGCACTCTTTTGGAATGAAAATTCTAAGCATGAGAATTTCAACTAAGGAGTTTTCCTCCCTCTCGTCCATAATTGGTGGCAATTATGAAGCAATAAATGGTATGAAAAATGGAGGAAGTTATTGCTTGAATGAAGAAGAAAGGTCTACAAATAATACAATTTCAAATTAAATATATAACTCTGTCTCCCTTAAAATAGGACTTAAATTAAGGAGTTAAATCAGCAATTAAATTAAGGAGTTAAATCAGCAACATATTATTGGAGATAATTTAAACTTTTAACTTAAACAACACTCTCTCCTTTGAAGTGAAGCTTAAATCAAGGAGTTATACTGAGGAAATATTATTGGAGATGGTTTCAAATTTTAAGATGATATGGCCAACCCCATGAACGGATTTATTGAGTTATTTTATTCTTATAAATAACATACAATGGCTATAAACATGTAGTAGCATTGTAATATTAAATAAGTTTAGATTGAGGCTTTGTTTGGAACAATTTTAGACCACTATTTTTTCTCTGCTTTTAAGAAATTTTTGTACTAAAAAGTAGCTTTAAAAGTCATCCTAAACGAAGCTTGAATGATGTAAGCAGCTTTTCACATTTTGTTTAGAGGTAAGATGAGTTGGTTCTCTCATATGGGAATTGGGTTGCCAATGAAATAATATTTCTATTTTATTTCAATTAAGAATGAAGAATTTATTTCTCTCATCAATTTTATTTATTTTTCATAGTTCATTTTCTTTAATTTTTTTGTTTCCTTTTTTTTCATGATAGTGTTATTTCTACTCTCCACCAGTCTATTTCCTACATATCTATACTTTGTTTGCACTCTCTATTCCACCATGGTCAAGATCCAATCGTACTATATTTTCATTCACTATTACTTTCCATCCTTTATAAGATTTCTACATTTGACGTCAAGAATGTTGATGCTTCCATTCATGCAAGATATACTATACAATTCCTACAATTCATGCAAGATATACTATACAATTCCTACAAATACTATCTTCTTCAGTCTATAATATAATTTTTTATTCTTTTTCTCACATTCATGACATTTTTATTCTTTATCTTGGATATTATTTCGGATTTACTTTTAAAAATAAAATAAGTTTTAAACATGATTATTTCATTTTTGCACATTTTGGCTATGAAAAATCAAATCTTTATTTTTGATGAAATTTGAGAGGATTTGTGGAATTAAAAATTTATATTGATGTCTCACTTCATCAAATTAATGTTTTATTTGGGATAACCTTTTTATAGCTTTCTAAAGCAGCTTACAGTATAAATTTTTTTTGTAATAAAAAGTTGTTTTATAAAGCCATAAAAAAGCTGTCCCAAATGAAACCTAAATGATGAATTTACAAACTTCATCATTTTATAAAACAAAATTTCTTACTTGAAACCCACCAAATAAACCCTCGAGCAATTTGAATCTCATTAAACTAAGTATAAAATCATATGAGCTTATGGAATTCATGCATGAGTTTAGCAATAACATTGTCTGTTCATCAAAGAAACCTATAATTGATGTAGTCCTATGTTACAGCTCATATAATTGATGATCTTGTATCTTTTGTTTTCCCAATCTACCGTTCAAATAAATTCGTCCTTCTATTCTTGATAAAAGAATATTTTAATGTGTAGCTAAGACTATATTTCAAAATATCAGTTTTTTGAAATATATAACCTAAATATTGTGATGTCATATCATTCTCCATTGTTCTTCAATCTGAATAAAGTTTAAGTTTATGTGTATAATAGATATATATTCATGAATAAGTGGCTTTCCTATCGATCAAATTGTGTGTTTTTTTCTCTAATTATTTTAGAAAATTGATTTATAGCCTGAATTCAACTTTCCCACCGCATTCATGTGGCATTGATGTAACCATGAGGTCCTCTCCATGGAGAGGTCACACTCACATAGTACAAACTCAATTCAGACGAACTAGCATTAATCATGATCTATTTTCAAATTTTTCCGAGGATAACCTTACTCATAAAGTACTTATTGTTCCAATTTGCAAGTCTAGTTGCCCACAAAATGTAATATAACATTGAAGTTCATTTTATTTTTCTCCTAGACAAGCTTGTAATACATCAAGTACTAAAGCAAGCTGTTACTGCTTTTAGAAATCGAATTTCAAATTTGAAGCGCTATTTCAATGGTGTTAGGACATACATCTTGCAGTCATGAGCATTCACAATGGCTGTCAACTGCCCCTTAACTGATGAAATGGTTGAATGCTGCAAAATTATAATGCAACATACAAAATTATTTGTAAGATTGTATGTCTAAACTAGAAGAGATGATTTGAAATCAAAGAAAATTTTTGTTGATTTAAAGTCTTACTGTCCAAAGGTCTCGAGCATCGACAATCGTTGAAGGATGAAGGCCAATATCAGACCAATATGCAGTGATGGGCTTTGGTGAAGATAATCTATTCCAAAGCACAATAGCAACTTTCTCGTCGCTGAGCAAACCCGACCACACCTAAGAACAAGAAGTTTCATTAGGCTTTAAGGCTTCGTTTGGGACAGTTTTTTTTCTGCTTCCTAAAGCAGCTGACTAGTATAAAAATTAAAATTTTTGTATTAGAAAGCTGCTTTAAGAAGCAGTAAGAAAGTCGTCCCAAACGAAACCTAAGTGTTGTAGTACCGTCAACATTTAGGCTTATATGTTTACTTGGTCATTTGTTTGTTTATTCAGTTCTATGATGTTAATTTACATATTTGTATACATTCATGATTCACGCATTTGTTACAGAGTTATCAAAGGCAGACATTGATACATTATAAAGAAGTATACTTGTACCTCCAAATCGCGGCTTCCTTTCACCTTCTTTCCTTGAATACCAAGTTTGTCTGGTAGAAATAATGGCATGCTAAGTGCTCAGATAAAAAAATAAAAGAAAGAAAATATTGATTTGATGCATGCATACCTTGATTTACTGCAATAACTTCTGCATTACTTAATATCTCAAAAGTTTCATGGCTCATATTTCGAACATCACAGCCAATAATTAAAGGTGCCTATAATATTTATGAGATGATAATTAAAACTCAATATGATGAAGTTTTTGATAAATAATAATCAAAATTAATCAAGCCAATATATGCTCATGCTTTGGAAAAATTATTATGTGCGGACCCTAGACAGCATCCGGAGACTAACTAGAATGTGCCATGTTACTTTTTTGCTCGGTACCGGTGCTCGGTACCATCATGCATCGGGTGACGTGATGCATTTTGGTTGGTATCCGGACCATCCGGTGTCCACACAGAATAATTTCTCCATACTTTGATACCTTGGAAAGTGACCAAATGCTGAAATGTGAACGATACTCTTCAGTTTTCATTCCACCATTTCCTACTTCAAGCATGTCCGGATCTAAAATAGAAAAAAAAGGCATTATTGTGATATCTTATTATATTACAAATCCAAAGCTCGTCATCAAGTACTTGCTAGTTAGATAAGACCCCATTTTATATCTTATTTAGGCTTCATGTGGGACGGCTTTCTTCTTGCTTTCTAAAATAGTTTTTTAGTACAAAAATGTTTTGAATTTAAATTTTTTTAACTAAAAAGCCGTATTAGAAAGCAATATTAAAGTTGTCCAAAACGAAGCCTAAGGGATGGCTTTGAGAAGAAGTAAGAAAGCCGTATCAAAGCCTTAGCATTTTGCAAATTATATCATCAAAATATATTTTTTTCTTTTTCAATGAATAAGATATCATTACAAATTTAATAAGAGGCAATGATCTCAAATTTTATTTGAGGATTCACCATTCCATCCACCAGGCCCTGCAAAGGATGCCCACTTGTCATTTTGGTCGGCACAATCTGTCATGCTAGAAAATGTCATAAAATAACATTATAATCAGTCTCAGAGTCAATAGTTCTGTGCATATTAGTAGAATTCAATATAGTTTTACTTTACCTATCCCAATCATCATGAATATCATCAGTTGTTCTCCAACTATTTCCAACCATTGGGGCCCAAGTTGCCGGATGTTCTCTTCCCCTGCAATTAACCATATCAACTTACTTATAAATGGCTATCGACAAAGTAGATATGCCTGTTAACCTTACTAAAATTATCAAGTAATATCCAAGCCCGTGCATACTAAATCCATTCTTAGCATATCTCACAAAGATTTCTTAAGGTCGTTGAAGATATGGAAAGCCAGATTCTTACTGAATGTAGGGGTTTCAATTTGAGTCGATGGGTCGGGTTCGAGTGGAACCTGAGTTGAGCCGGCTCTAAACAGATCAACCTAAACCCGACCAATTTTTGCAAACAGTTTGGCAATTTCAACGTACCCGACCCACGCAGGTTGCTGGGTTGACATGACCCGACCCAGATTTACTAGATTTGGCTAAAAAAGCACGAGCTGAGCTCCCGTGGCTGGCGGTGAAGCAGAGGCAGTGACAACACACGAAGCGATACAAAAATGGCGAAGTGATGCGAAAATGGTGATGTGACACGATCTGTCGGGCAATGCATGCGAAGCAACTTGATGCTTTGGGCAACGCGGGCAGCTGGGCACTCGATGCGGGCAGGGCCAGCAGTAGACACGAGCAAAGGGTTTCCGGGTCATTTTCGAGTTTCTGGGTCAACCCGAACATGACCCGATTTTTGAAACGGCTCAGTTTGTTGAACTCGAACCCGACCCTTTTCACAAACGGATCGACTAGAACTTAGATTTTTTTGAATCGGATTTCAGGACTTGTAAAAAATTGACACCCATGCTGAATGCTCATTCCCCATTGAATATTCATTCCTTATTTATGCATGCAGACCCAAATACAATAGATTCTAAGGAATATTCTATATAAATATTATGGAAATATGGTAGCATTAAATATTATATTATAAATTTATGTTGTCAGTCTAACCTTCATGATTTAAGGGACAACATCTCTTGTATTTATAGCATAAGAAAAATAGTAAAATCTATATAATCGTGGATGTAGGATGATATCACCAAACCACATAAAAAATTTTGCCTACAAATCTACATGTGTAGGTGTATGTACTTGTATGTATTAGGTATATTAAGGTATGCATACGTGCATAGAAGGTAAAACCTCCTACACAGCTATATATACAGGGGGAAAGTGCACATTTGAGAGCAATGATGGTCATACTAATAGAAAAAATAACATACAAATAGTGCACCAATAAAAGAACACTAAAAATTTATGTGGTTCAATGAAAGCAAGATACTGAGATAATTGTTCATTAGTCTAAAGATCAAAACAAGATGAAATTATTTTGCACTCACATATTTTCTTTAATTTTTGCTCTCTAGTATTCTTTCCCCTCTCTTTCTCATTCCCTCTAACAACCCAAGTAAGAACATATCACAAAAAAAAAAAAAAAGATTCATCCAGTATTTATGCTTACATGAGAAAGAGAAAAAGAGAATGCTATAGTCTCCTACTTCATATTACTTCATCAATCACCAACCTTAATGACAACCATTACTTCCCCTTAATAAGATGCCTTATTTTGATTGTCACCACTAACGGTTTAATAGTTATTGCCAACCATCCAATAGATAAAATCCTTTGTATAAAGTTTTGCTAAGATATCTATAAACCTCCAATTATCCCACTGCCACTTCTCCGACCTCCACCTTAATAATCTTCAACCTTGAGATTAGAGTTTGGTATATTGCCTTGCGAGAGTCATCCCTATGAGTTTTCACATTCTAATTATTTAGAGGGATTGACTATGGTGTTGGGTACCATAACCTGTTAAGGGTAAAAATATCATCCTTTATTATCATCATTTTGTCATCACCTTGTTGGTCATTGATTTTAAAATATAATATATTTTATAATGCTAACATGTCGGATAAGCAAACAAATCACAAGCAAGTCGTTTAGCTCTGCACAGCTCGGTCATCACTCCTAAACTTTAGCAGTAATGATAGAAACTACAATCCCTTCCTCCCTCAAATTTCTTATGTCAAATATCAAATCAATAGCTCATATACAACTCACAAGTGAAAAATACTCCATGTGCGAGCTTCAAATACTAAAACTATTCTTAGCAAACCACTTTGCCACACTACGGGAAAACACGCGATTACCGTCATACATTCCGACGAATTTGTTTTCGCCGGAAAGTACGGCGTTAACACTGTCGTATTTTGCACCTGAAAAAAACGACGTTATTTCCAGTGGAAAGAGCGCCGGTAGTTTTCCGACGCTTAATACGCCGGTGTTGACGTCATAAAATACAAGAATTTCAATTTGAGCGGCGGATTTTACGGCAGAAATATACCGGCGCATTTGCCGACGGATAAGATGACGGTCATTTTAAACTCAACGATTTGTTTCCGGCGCAATAGATGTTGGAAAACTTTCCTGCGCAAAAGACGCCAAAAATGCCGCCGACGAAAGCCCTATTTCCGAACCCTAAATCGGCGTATGAAATTCTGACGGAAATGCGCCGGAAACCCATTCTTTCAATTGTATTTTATGTATTACAGGCGGATTTTGTCCGCCGATAATACTGGGTTTTCCTGTAGTGCCAGCTATCTCACGCATGACCATCGATCCCCGCCCAAATTGTAACATATGCATTGGAGCTGTAGAACCTAACCTTGTATACAAAACATGGCAGCTTTTAGACCAAAATTTATCAGCCGCCATATACTCTACCATTTATTCTACCATTCTCCCATATATCCTCAACCTTCAAAGCTTCCATGAGATCTAGACCACCCTTGAGAAGCGACTGGAACTAACAAATAGGTCCCAAGTGATTCAGTTAAAAAATGAGCTACACAATGTTACCATGAGAGATTTCTCTATGACCCAATACCTCTCTACCATCAAGTCCCTAGTAGATAATATTATTGCAGCCGGCTCCCAACTTGACACAAAAGACATCATACTATACATTCTCAATGGATTACCTCCTTCTTACCATGCCTTCAAAATAGCTATAAGAACCAACTTCACACCCATCAGCTTGGATAACCTCTACTCCCTCCTTTGCAGCAAGGAAATAAACGTTGCCACTAAGACCCTCAAGATTTCCCAATCGAACTCCTCTCAAAATGCCTTCGTGGCCACCAGAGGTCGCTCGAAGCGTCACTATTGTGGTCATTTCAATCCACAACAACAACAAACACAACCATGCTCCTCCACTATACATCCTAAATCTGCTCCCCGTATCACTTTCTAATTCTGAAAAAACTAGGTCACTCAATCACCACCTGCTAGCACGGAAGCAATCTAAGATATAAAACAAACACAACTCATATAGCTCTCACCTCTCAGCTCTGCTTCACCATCCTCTAGCATGCCCGATTAGGCCACCCGTAACATTCCAAACTATAAGCTTTCCAAAGAACTCAAGTTTTGCTGTCAGTCTTTCCAAAGAACTCCACCGTCCTCTTTCCCAAGGATTCAAGCAGCAATATGGCGTAAATTACCATGAAACCTTCAGTGCCATAGATTATTTACCATGCCTTCTAAAAAATCATGAACTCAAAAAATAATGTTGTAATACAATTAAAGTATTTAAATAATATTATGCACAATCATTGATAGATTATTTATATTCTAAAATAGTAAATTTCTGCTCAATAAAATATTTAGTTGTCAAATGTTATAGCATTTTATGAAATTCTAAAATGAGTTTATTTATATTTTAATATGATAAAATGAATTATGTACTTACTTGCCTGAAATGTGTGATTCATAAGAGATCTGGTGTGGATGGAAGAAGTTATATTCTGGTGCTTATGGGCATGTTCATGTGACTAAGAGTATGTTTTGGTGCTATATGCGCATTTTGTTATGATGTTGGCATTGGGAGGTACAAGGGTTTGAGGGAAAAATTGTTATTTTTGCTATGATATATGAAGTGCTTATTTATTTACTTTCCAATATTGTCATTTAAAGTTCTGATAACAATAATTACTATTCATCTCAACACAATGAATTATTTTATTATTTTAAAATTTGGTTATTCATAACTGATAATTTGGAAATTTAATTAATAAATAAGACCTACTGAGATGTGTTAGCTCATAGTTATTTTCCCTTCTATTCTTTATGGTCTAAGGAAGAAAAGGAGATAGTTGAGTAGCAATTTAAGGATCTAATATGAGTCTATATTTATCTATTTCTTTTGATATTTTTGTATAATTATGGCTAGCTAGTTATTTGAACTACTTAATTTTTTATTTCTATCTATATCCATGCACTATAGTGTAATCATTATACGTACACATTTGATGATGAAATGAAAATAGTTTTGGGAATGTTCTTACTTTCGATATGCTGGATGTTATTAGTAGCTCCATGGTCTGTTGTTTGTTTAATTTAAATTTTATATCTGAATAAAACTTTTGGAAACAAACTAACATGATATGACTTGTCGTATTTATGGGTCTTATCGGGTTGGGTTGCGACATACTCAATGTATTTGTAAGAGTAAGACAACATTATTGAGTTAAACACATATAATAAATTGAAGTAGTAGGTTTTAACTACATTCATGATTATTGAGAAAATTATCTCTACATATCAATCATACATAACCTATATACATTCCATATAGCTAGTATTTATGGGGGTGTGTACACATAGTATGTATATGTTGTTGTGCATTTAAATACACACCATGCACAACCATACACACATTTAGACATCAATTGATGTATATAGGTGTGTAAAACTTGTATGCATATAAATTACACTTGTACAAACAACTATTATATGTAGATATAATATTCTTATAATATTTTCTTTTGACGACAAAAAGACTTACCATTCGCATATGGAGAAGAATATATTTCTACCTGCATATTTCAAGGCCTTGCCCATCTTCTTATATCTACATCCACATGAAACAAATAATGTAGCAAAAATTAGAATAAAGTTTCTCAAATGGACACTAGAAATATGGATTTCATCACCATTACTTAAATACTTGCCTTTTCTTTGGACTTTTACCAAGATTATTGCAATTATCATATTTTAAATAATCAATTCCCTGAAAGCATTCACAAATACAAAATTAACTACAATAATCTTATCATAGTTATTTTTGGATGGATATGTAACTTCTTAAAGCTAATAAATGTTTGCTAAATTTAATTTACCCATAAGGCAAAAGTTCTTGCATCCCTTAGCTCATTTCCAAGTGATCCAGGGATTCTTAAAGTGCAAGTCCTATTCCTATAATTAAAAAAAGTTAAATAAAATGGTTAATATGAGAAGCTTTAAAATGTTAAGCATAAAGATATCATAAAACTTATGAAAATAAAATATGGATATAAATGTAATACCCTGCATCACCATAGATTCCAAGCTTAAGCCCTTTGGCATGCACATAATCTGCAAGTGCCTTGATTCCAGAAGGAAATGTTGATGAATTAGGTTGAAGATTACCCTGAAAAAGGCCAAATATAAGTTAAGGGATTGCTTAAGATCACATTTGTTTTATTTTGTTATTTTTTATTTAAAAACATTTTCTTATTTAATATGATTTTAATTACTTCTATCTTTATTTTTAAAAATAAATTAAGGCCTTCTTTAAAATACTGAAAAAAAAACTTTTTGCTATTTTGAGTGCTTTTAAAAAAGCAATCACCATCGGCTACTTATGTCATTGCCTTTGGTTGCCACCGGTGAACATTTCCTCATCGACCAATGCCAATACCATCACTTAAATAAACAAAATAATAATAATAATAATAAATAAATAATATATATATATATATATATATACCTGACCTCATCGCTTTGCTACAGGTTCTTCCACCTCGTCGCCTGCTATTGGTCTTTCTGACCTCCATCCCAAACAACGGTTCTTTCTGACCCGTCTCTTGACCAACTATTTGGTTCTTTCCACTTCCATCGTCTACATGATCCTTCCATCCTCCATCGCTAGACAACAATTTTTTTACCACTATCTCTTGCCGACTACGATCTTGCCAATCCTCCCGTCGCTACTACGCGTCTTTCCGACCTCCATTACCATAACAACGATTTTTCTGGCCCTGTTCCTGACCGACTACAGTCCTTCCGACCTTCGTCGCCTACTACGGTCCTTCCAACTTCCATCACCAAAACTATGGTCTTTCTGACCCATGTCTCCTCCCTGCCTTGAGTCTTTTCGACCTCCGTCGCCCGCGACAATGGTCCTGCCACTAAACGAACATAATCAATACTGATTCTTCTAATTTCTATAATGATTTCATTCTATATGACATATATATGTTATATCGAAGCCTAGACCTTTTGCTCCAATGTAAGGGCATACATTGTAATTCAACTCCAAATTAATAATATGATTTCATTTAAACTGGGCCAGGCCTCACCGGACTTTTCCCCCTTCTCAGGGGTTTTCACGTAAATATACCTAGGTCTCTTTTTATGAACGCTTACACCCTTCGTCTTTACAGCTTGTTGAGATCTCGTAATAAGTAAGAAGTTAAATTTATATTTCTCTCACTTGTCCTTGACGATTATATTTCCTTAGGAAACAACAACATCAGTAATCTTGCGAATCTTTAAATTATGATAATTTAGAAGGTGAATTTTTAGATTACCTTACCTTATATTATTTTAGGTTGACTTTTGAAAAATTCAGTTTTAGGTGATGGGCATATCTATTTCCCTCCTTTTATTATAGATTTCTTTCAGTTATTAAAATTTAATTTTAGGCATAGTAGTGGGTATGATGGTATCATATCTCTAATTTACATTCTTACTAATGTTATTTATATTATGTGTGGATTTGACCTTGTTAGAATCTCTTATATTTTATTTTCTTCATACATGTTCTAATATGATAACACATATTTTTATTGATTGGGATTAAAATAATAAGTGACTAGGAGTCTAAGCACGAGTGCCAGAATGTTCAAAAGTCGTGATTTAGTTGTCGAGCTTCCTATAGGTCATTGTGAATTTGCATTTGTGTTAATCAAACTATCGCATATCTTCATCACCTTATTATCCATTTCCAGACGCTCATTAAAGTGATTTTGTATATCTCAAAGGCTTTTCACTATTTCTTTGGACTTATCTATTCTGCAATGCAACTGAACTGTCTACAATGTTAGAACTAAGTTTCCTCGCCAGAAGCTTTTGAACAGAGAAAGGAATTGAATCTTTGGATTTTCTTATAAGGGTACTCTTCAATGACTGATACATCATAGGATACTTCATTATTATATTAAGAGTCATTGTGTTACAATCAAGCTTAATACATTTTATTGTAGCTATATTTATACTCGTCATAATCTATCTGGTGTATTTTACCATATTGTATATAAAGCAACTATATTATATTCTTTATATACCCTCCTCTGATCAAATGTTTTGGTCCTTGGACACCGTTATTATTGTATCATCGTGAAGATAAAACATTAAACGCACTTGACTAGTATGAGAGAAGAGGATTTCATGTTGAAGATTGTCTAGCAACGTGATGTCTTAGGTACTTATGGGTTAGAATGCCGATATATGATGTTATTTATGAATATGATATCTCAAGCAACTTTTGATCATCTCGATAATGGTGGTGCGGCAGCAGGATAGGAAATCATTTGTGATTATTAGCAAGTGCTATCGTTCCGAGCATATTATTCGTCAATGAATATCATGGTTGATTAGGATTAGGGTAGTTGTCAATTATGGTCACGGGTCGGGTTTTCGGGTCGAACCCGAACTGATCCGGTGGAAAAATCGGGATTCGGACCCATAAACCCTACCGTAGAGAAACGGGTCGAAAATCCGAAACGGACCCGACCGGCGGTGTGTTGCCGGTGTGACCCGACACGACCCGGAACCGCGCGGGGCAGCTTTTCTGCGGGCAGCAGGCGACAGGCGGCGCGCGCGGCACCGCTCGCGAGCACGCGATGCAGCGCTCGCATTAGGCAGCGCGCGGCACGCGCAGCGCTGCTTACCGGCACGGCGCGCGGCACGCGCACAACAAAGATCAAGCGCGCAAGAAGCGACAGGACCCTGAATGATCTGATTGAGTTTGACTAAGCGTCATCCT